ATTGGGTGTTATAACATATTTGTATAATTTTTTGTGCTTGTTCAATTAATTACTTGGTGTACATATTTAAAAATACTGTTTTATTAAAAATTTCTATACTTGTGTAATGGAATTAGCAGCTACTTTATGAAAATGCATTTAAATATTTAGGTAACTAACACATGTAAATGATCTGTAGAGAATAATAAAGTATCTGTATATCTGTCTATCTAAATTTGAAAAATAAGACAAGATGAAGATGGTTATAAGGACCAAAATTTCACTAGTCATGTGAAACATTGTGAAAAAATAAAATTGATTTCAATTTTTTCGTCACTTGAATAATCAAGATGGAAAGGAATTCTGAAAATATAACATCTGAACATTTATCGATTTATTGTAGAAGAAACATGGATAAAACCAGATTGTCACTCAAATCAAAATATCTGTAGATACTGAGTTTATTCAAAAGAACGCAAATATATTCATGAAATAAATATTAATTCATATTTAGAAACTATTTTTACATCTTGTTTTGAACTGATCAGAAAATAATCAAATAAAAAAGATCATATTTGCCCTCATTGTCTCATTTGGAGTTGATTCAATAACCTTGTGAAGAACTATAAATCAATTTCAATGCCAATCTTCATATTTTAGGTAACCCAAATGTGATTGAACAAAATGCTTCTCAACCAGAACTTTCTCGCCGCGATTCCTTATCTTCAATAAGTGTTGAGTCCTTGGAATCACTGGAAGCAGAGCAGGCACTTCTGAAGCAATGCATTTCTTTTGGGATGCCAAAGAGCAACACTGACTCCGAGGCTAAATTGTCAGATATCGATACATCCAAGGAAGGGTGAGTTTGTTACTTGATGTTTCAGAAGGGAAATGTAGTGAAATGTCTCTCTGTACATTACTCCACAAATATACGAGGTCTGTTAAAAAAAAGGTGGATTTTAATTTTTCTCAAAAAAATATTTATTTGAAAATTTATGTGTGTCCTTGAGCTGTCTCAGCGATTCTGTTTTTATCCCCTCAATCGTCGTAAAACGCCGTCTTTTCATGGGTCTTTTCAATCTTGGGAAAAGGAAAAAGTCGCAGTGGGCCAAATCTGGTGAATACGGTGGCTGCATCATGATTAGGGTGTTGTTTTTGGTCAAAAAATAATAACGAGTGAGCATTATCGTAATGCAAAATCCATGAATTATTTTCCCACAATACCGGGTGTCGCGCTTCTCGGACGCGACACATAACTTCAATTTCAAAATAATAGTTTAATTGGCTTTATGACCATGTGGCACAATCTCCTGATGCACTACGCCACACTAATTGACCAAATTGTGACATTTAATCAAACTTGGCGTGCTATTTTTTTAGTTTTGGCTTTCCTGGCCTCTTCTATTGGGATGATTGGACTTTGGTTTCAATGTCATAATAATGTACCCATGATTCATCAGCAGTTATGACCCTTTCGTGCAATCTGGATGGTCGTTGACTTCATTCAATAATCAAGAAGCTTTGATATTTTTGGCAGTAAGCTTATGAAACGATATGATGAGATGACAAGAGGGTTATACCCGGGTTTTAGTATCATTGCCATCTGTCCAATTTTGAATATTTTTGGCCAGTAAACTCAGCTGAGTATTGTATTGAAGATGTAGAGTATTTTCACTAGTCCTTTTTTTTGTAATTTTTTTCAGCATCGTCGTAGTTATCAAATCTAAATCAGGTGTTTTTTTTCGGTTTAATGTATGAATTACACCCTTAATCTTGTTTGGGGTGAATAGTTTTAGTTTATTATGTACATGTAAGGGTTCTTCAAGGATTTGATGTACTTCTATCACCTGTTCGTCATTATACAGTGAAAAAACTTCTGCTAAATATTCAGCAAAGAGTACATCTTCCTCCTTTAAACTTTTAGCCCATAGGCATGAGTGTGTCGAGTTTTTGCGAATTGTTAGTACTGGTTTCCTTTTGTTTTTTATCGGCTTCCATATTGAGTTGTCTCAAGTTGATAGGTTATCAATATAGCTGGAGAATAATCCAACAATGAATTCTTTAGTTTTGATTTTAGCTTGTGCTGATTTGAATATACTTTGTTTTATTATCTGATATGTGGGTTCGTTGCTATAGTGATCTGACCCTTCTTTTTTCAGCTACCAGTTTCTTGATTGACTGGGGAATATTACTTAGGTTTCTTTTAGTAGTTATTATAAGATTAGCTTCTTTTGTGGCTTTCTGTAGTAAACTAATGAACCAAACTCTGATATACATATATGAAAAACAATATTTAAATTATTCCTAGAAATTAACAAATTTCACCAGAAATAACTATCAACTTCATCAACCTTATAGTAGATTGACAATATCAAAAAATCACCCCATGTGAGGACATTAAATCTTCAAATATCAATGTCTTTAAAAGGCGACTCAAGATTTTTCTATTGCAAAAAGCATACTACTCTCTGGATGAGTTTCTCCTTGAATCCTAATTTGATTGTAGCTTATTAACTTTTTTGTATGTATGTTTTATATTGACTTTTTTAGGTTTGTTTGACCTGTTGAATCAGCCAGTATTTTATGATGATGTTATGTTTTTTTGTCTGATGTGATTGTGAAGGAAAACTGATTCAATAAATGTTTGATTGATTGATTGTGGTGTGGGTTCATTTCTTTTTATAACTGCTGTGCTTATTCATGTGCAGGTCATAATTTGTTGTTATATCAGTGTAGGTTGAGCTAATACATTTGTTATGAAGATCCGGAGTTTTTCCGGGATCAGTAGGCCAGTATGTTGGCGTACCAGTTGAAAGAAAAGAGTAATTCTCATTGTGTAACAAATGTGCCAATTCTCTACCTTTTGTATGATCCCCAGAGTGGGTGTTTGCCGTGGTTAATCGCCTCCAGCAATGAATTTTGGCTCCGAGGTATCAAAAAAGTGTTCAAAGTGTTCTCTCCTCAAGTTATGCCGAGGTGGACGGTATACAGCGGTAATAGTGATATTATATGGGAGTGCTTCGATTCTCACTGATTTAGTTCGAATATGATTTTCCACGTATTTCAACAGTTCATCCTTTGATCTGGGTGATTTGTATTGTAGAGTTAATATTTGGGCACTCTGAAGTAGGAGTTGTTTGTAAAATGTGTTTCTCTGACTAATAGTATGTCTGCTCAATTCATCTACAAGAATATTCTAATTTCTTCTTTATGACTGGGAAGGCCATTGGCATTCCACTAGGCTATTCGAAGAAACTTAACCATTTTCCTTTCGTTTTGTTAACAAACACGGTAAACATGTTGCGAAACGTACTATTTTGTTGCATAAGTTGATAGATTTATGAAGATAAAGAATAGATTTTTGAATTTTTTAAAGAATTTGCTTAGCAGGATTGTATTTTCCAACTGGGATTGTTGTTGAGTATTTCTTATGTAGCTATTTTGATTTGGGCGTTCCTTGCGTTTCTGGTTGATCTCTGATAGTGTTCACAACCTTTATAATTAGCTGGGAGGCTACCACCACAGAGGGCACATGTTGCTGGAGTTTCTTTGGTTTTGCTTTCATTTTGTTTTACAAAATATGTGTTAAGGAAGTTAGTTACTTTCAGTATTTATTATTTTAGATATTTCCTCCTTGTTTTTCTTATTTGTATTTTCTTTTATTTTATTCCAGCACATCAGTAAGTGTTGGGAGTCGCACAAAGACATACAGAAATTTATTAAAAAAAACAGAAATTCTCACTGTATCCACTGTAACTCATCAACCATTCTCAAATTTAGAAATAGCACAACACTCACCAAAAATAAATGAAGATCAAGTGTTACAATGTATTCAGTAACATTCTACATACAAAATATAGAGAATCAAATAATACTATGAAGTTCAGAAACATTCTCTTCAGAAGAATTTTTTAATTTTAAGTTTCAATTTTTATTGCCCAAAACATAAGTGTACAATTTTGATTTTTTATGAATATTAGTATTACCTCCAGCTTTTTTTTGTAAGCCCGACAGGCTTACATAGGGTAACAACTCTATTTGTGAATAAACCTCATGGATGAATAAATACTTCCTTGCTGAAGATTTTATGGATTCTAATACTAAATCTTTTTGTTTTTCTAGAACTACTTTGACGATGGGTAAATCGCAAAGTCGTGATAGAAAACGTCAAAATGAGCCTGAAACTGTCCAGTCAAAAAACGTGAATGCTGCGTCTGTTGTCGGGAGCATAACAATTCAAGCCAACGTGATGTGTCCCAACATGTCAACCGCGGCAGCAGGCGTAGAAGAAAATCTAGACCAAGAGATAGGGACAAAGATGGAAGAGAAACGAGAGCTAGTTCTAGAGGAGCAAGAGAAAACAGAGATCCGAACAGAGAATCCACCAGTAGAGACACTAACAGGCAGTCCCACCATCGATACGTTACCGGACAAATGCTTGCCTTCAGAAGAGATCTTATACACAGGTACGCAAAGAATGAAATATATTTATCTGTATCTGTAGAGTAGGGAGGGTGAGTGTAGGTCTACAGCACTTAGGCCACATGTGACCCTTTGTATATCCTCTCAAAGGGTTGTCCTCCTAGGTCATCGTCCATCCTGGCAATAACGAAGAACTGGAAAGGTACATGGTATCTTTACAAAACAAAATAGACATTGCCTAGAAGGAATCCTGTCGATGAAAGATATTTAATTCAGAAGTTTGTTGAAAAGGTTGGATACAAGCTAGAAATTTGTGAATGATCTCACTACTGTTATTCATAGGTTTTTTTAAATAAACATCCGTAAGCACTGCTGTAAAATGTGTAAAATTGAATTGAATTTTGAATAATACAATCCAATACATTTTTGGGAAAACCTAGAATCAAAAACCAGACTATACATTTCTGAAGGTTTTTGATGCACTGATTCTAACACCGATCTTGGAATTGCTTATAACATCAGAATTTTGAGAAACTTCAAACTTAAATATTACTTCAATTTGAAGACATGATTTTTTTAAATTTATTAGACTGTGCATTTCAGTATATTCAGTATAATATATTACATAAAATCCTGAATTTCCATCGGAATTTGGATCATTCTGTTTAGTTTTGATATTTAGGGATTTATGAATGTGAAAATTTAATCAATTCCACTCAACCATATCTCTGAAATGAGATAACTAAATAATCAAAATGGGTTTTAAAAAAGTTGCCAGGGAAATTTTAAAGTGATATCAAACCTGTTTTTTTTTGTGTTGTAAGAGAGACAGTTATTATTATCATTTTTGCCGAGTATCGCCATGAATAGTTATACTATCAGTTTTCTATTCAAAGTTATATATCATTGTTATAATATTATACACATATATCAAGTCAAGACTGAACATGATTTGTTAATTTATTATATTATCTACTACTTATCAGTACTGAAGTATTTAATAGTGTCCTGTGATTAGGTGTTACCTGTGTTGGGAAATAAATTGAAAATTTTTGAATTGAATTCCTTAACTAGTTGTGAGCTCAAATTTTGTTCTCTTCAATCACGACTCCGAATGTGAAAGTTAATGTTCATATAGNAATCATTTAAAAAGTGACTATAAATGACAGGAGAACGACAAAATGGAATTTGATGACACAGTTTTTTATTTCAACTTCAAGTATTATCCACAGAAAGTATTATCTGGAGTTAATCCTGTTACTGAAAGTATGAAATTCATTAAATTTTATCATATGATTAATGGTATTATTATCTCAGAAGCTTTTGTTGGATCAATTCAAGTACAATTAATTATGTCTATACTTGACCTTATTCAACCTTCCTCTCAAGTTTTGGAAGATTCAACAGATTACCCAGGCGAGCCTATAGCGCTTGAATTTAGTAGCTATATTAGAAAGAGGTATGCATGTAGGAATCGTTTTTTTTTGTAATAAATTGCAGTTGTACAGATTGAGGATTGTAGAATAAATTGAATACTTGAAATGATTCTTTAATCCAGTTTGCTATATTTTTTGATTTTCATAACTGTATATTATTAAATTATGCATAAAATCATAGTTTAGGTAAATATTTTGTGATCTCTCGACTTTGTGTACTGATTTTAGATATAGAACTTATTTCCAAACATGATTTTTCGTGTACATTTTATTCCATGTGGAGAATTTTTCATTAATTGAAACGTTAACGGGTTCATATACACTTCCATGAATAAATTGATAATTATAGGCTCCGTAAATTTTACGATTTGGCAATATTGATTATTTCTATTGTTCCTATTGGTCAATCGAACAAGAAGCGGGAATAGGGTCGTGACGTCACCACCCCACCACATTCGATTTTTAATAATTAATTACGGGAAAACTACGGTATTTAGAGAGATGAAACAAAGTGCACTGTTTTTCAATTTAAAATTTCTATCAAGTGAACTATAAACCAAAAATCATGAAATAAGCCCATTGGGTGTTACCTGTTGAGCAATAAATGATATTTTTATTATCTGTATTCATCTGTTTTTAGATCCCACGAAGAGTGGATCTAAAGAAATGAGCCTCTTGAATACTACTTTGGATAGGTTAGTTATAGAAGATCGTTTAGCCAGGAGCTGTGAAGATTCCAATACAGTCGATAACAGAATGTTGGACCCAGAGGCCATGATTGAATCCTTAGACCGCTTTACTGCAGAACTTGTCTCTCAGGCTAGCCACCTTAACAAAGATGATGACAAATACAAAGCATCAACGGGTGAAAATACTTGGAACGATGATTCTTCACCAAATGACGTAACATTTCCCAGTATATCCGGCAGTGCACCCAACGTTATAACATTTAGTAACGAAGAAGAAATACAACAAGATTTAAATGCAGTGGACGAGCCTGATGGTACCAACGAGCCTGTACCTGAAGTCAATAATGAGCCATCTGGAGACTTTTTGTCAATAAATACATCGACTCTAACAGATAGCACTTTGATTGCTATTGAAGCAAGCAAAATGGCTACGGTATTCAAGAACGAAGCTGAAATGTCTACGAGCATTACCAGCGTGGCCTCCTTGGATTTAGATCATATACAGCCTCCGTCTCATATGAATTCACTGAGTAATAGTGCTGTGGGCTTGGAAATGATACCATCTAGTACTCCCAAACTAATGAGGAGAAAAAAATCTTTACCAGCTGGACTCATGGTTAGAAGGGCATTGAATAACTCTTCGAATCATGGATCTAGTTTGGAGAGTCTTGAAAATCATAGTCTTTCTAACTTGGATCATGTCAACCCACCTTTTGAGTTGTTCAACGATATGGATGGCAGCATGACGAGCGTCGCTAGTCTACCGATGGAGATGGAACAGAAAACCGATTTCCTCATTAACGGAATTCTTGATAAGGAGCCACAAAGCATTCAGCATCCGATATTTGATATGAAGCATCCATTTAACGAACTGGAGAATATAAACCCACCTTCCTTGTTCAACGAGATCACAGACTTTTGCAACTCGTTAGCAGATGTGCCTACAGAGGCTATCGGCAGCATAACGGAGACATTTGAAGACTGTTACACATACGTTCCAGACTCCACCATGCAGGATATAACCTTGAGAGATGATCTTAGCCAATTATCAGATGCTAAATATAGCACGCCTCTTCAATCAGATTTCAGTAGTGCAGAAGCTTCACCAAAAAAAACCAAGAATCTTACTAAATCAATGATGACTAAACAGAGGAGGAATTTAGCAAGGGATCGTTATAAAACCTACACAGTCGCGGCGGAGATGGTGATGAAGGAAGAATCCAAGGGGAGAGTGGATGAAGACCTCACAGAGGAGTTTAACACCGCACTAGATTTTTCTGTTGAAGATATGGCCCCAGTTAGTTCGACACAAGTTTCGCCAGCATGTAATGTGGGATCCAAATTGACTCCTAGAGAAAAACGACAAATGAACAGGTGAGAATTTTATTTAGGGTGAAGTAGTAATGAACTTTCATGTTGGGTTCATAATAATTTTTATTTTATTATTATAAATAGAAAAAAAAACACTTTAATACAGAAACCATGTAAAGCAATGTAAAAGGGAAAAATAAAAAAAGGAAACTTACACCTAGGTCGTGATGTTCAAGAACAAAATGGTAAAAACAAATAATCACAGAAAATTGTTTCAATGTTACTAATGAGTTTCCGTGCAAACTTCTAGGTTCTTTTATTCTTTTGGGGAAGGTCCTCCCTGTTTGACCCATATAAAGTTTGGGACTATTATCACAAGTCAACTTATACAGCCTTGATCTATCTGATACTAAAGTTGTGTATGTACTGTTTGTATTAAATCTGCTCAAATTTTTATTCTTTCTGCAAGTCATGTCAAAATTTTTCTATAAAAAAAAGATTGATATCATTGGTCGGCTCACCAAAATAGGTACGTGTCCTATGAGGCTTAATATCGTTTTCAGAAAGAATGGAGCTGGTATCCACCATTGCTGGTAAAGATATTGATGGGCTCACCAAAGTAGGTCAATATCCTATGAGGCTTACTATCGTTTTTAGGAAGAATGGAGTCAATAATATCCACATCATAATCATTGTCGGCAGTGATATCGTTGGCGGGTTTACTAAAGTATGTCAATGTAATATGACGCTTATCTTTTCTTGAAGTGGGATAAATCTGGTAAATGGCTTGTTTTCACAGTTTTTTGGAAATAATGGAGTCGATAACGAATATTTATAACTCAATTCTTTCTAAAATACTATGGAAACAAGCCCTGAACCAGGTCATTGTTCTTCACTAAGAAAATTATTGAGTGATAAGTGGTCCCATCAATCAAACCATTACCAATCTTTCTATTATTTAACCCTTTCTATACTAGGGTGTTTTTTATGCAGTACTCCCTGTACGCAGGTTTTTTTATTTGACGTATACTTACGACAGTCGTACTCAGAACAATTATAATGAAAGAAAAATGCTAAATACTCATTTTATTCATAAGAAAAATCAATCTATTGATTCACAAAAAAAATTAAAGATGATTCTACGGTTTGAAAAAAGAAAATATAAAGGAATACTTTCAAAATTCAGAACGTCTCTTTGGTGTGATACTGCTCAAAGCAAGGTGTCACACACAATTTGACGTTACAAATGTCGCACTGGTAAGTTGTTTCAGTTCTTTTTTTATTTGCAGAACATACTGCACACCAAACGGGAGGTCTTGCAGTAGGTTTTGATTTCGGTATCTTTTTTATGAAGTGCCTTGCCGTGAGTCGTAAAGGGTTAGTATAGTACAGAATTTGTTTCATTTACATCAGATTCAATGTTATCTGGCGGTTTATCGTGTTCTGACTCATCATCCTTTTCCCGCTCATCATCGTATCCCTCTTCATCTTCACTTTCTCCACTACTGAAGCTACACTCATTGTCATCCACGTCAGATAAATTGTCGGCTATACATAATTGAGAACTTGATTTGTATACTTGTTGGGATAGGAACTTAAATTGGCAAGCCTGTCTAGTATTGTGGTGAGGCTGAGAAGTAAAGGTACCTTTGTTCTTGTGTACAAGGCATACTCAAAAACAAACGATGAAGTCACAGTTAAAATTCCATGCATTATAAATAGTAGCTTGTATGGATCATTCCACTTTGTTACACAGTTATATCATATATCATGTAAGATGAAAACAGATTGAAACAGCTATTTACTGCCTACACCCCAAAATGCAATGCAATATTCATGACATTCTCCCAGATAGAACGAGAGGGATACTCTCCCTGTCTGCTTGGTTTTATATATTCTTATGATAGTAATAACTATCAAAATATGTGAAATATAGTGTGATAAGAGTACACGTTTCTCGAGCTCGCCGCTTACCTAAAAAGTGTTTCATCATTTGTATCTTAACTGGTCAACAAAGACTGGTATACTAGTAATTCAATTTTCAATAAACTCCCCGTACTCTGAGAAAGTTCACGAATATACCCAAAGTCTGATAAACACTGAACTGTGTATAATTCTTTTGTAACAAAAAATAAATATCTATCTACTGGTCTGAGAAGCTCTGTTACATTAATCACTTTGACCACATTGATGGAAGATGAATATTAATACTAATTTCTTTACTCATTTCAGATCTCGTTTTGAAACACAAGTAGTTGATGAGGCCCTAACAAACATTCTTGAGCAACCTGTAATAGATTCTAATTCAGATACGAAAAGCCCGGTTTCCAACTCCAATAGCTGTGCCTCATCCCCCTTTCAGAGCCCTGCCAGAACAAAATTGAGCATAAGGCGTAACTTCATGCAGAAAAGACTAGAAAATAAAGAGAGGTTTCGAACTCAAACACTCAGTGAATCAAGTTTCTCGCCTGATTCATCTTCTGCATCGCCTCCATTGACATTGAATGGAGAAACAGCAGTTCAGCTGCACTTGCAAAAAGAAACTGATCTAATACTCAGGACGTTGCGTGATACAAAGACAATTCAGGACGATCTTATTGACTGCGAAACTTTGAGCCTGGTGAGCAATGATGACGAATCTGAACACAATTCTGGAGGTTCTGCGAATTACAGAACGTATCACAAGAGTTGGGGCTTCAAGAAAAATATACCTATCATCGATAGTAGTCAGCCAAGTCCGAGAGAACCGGAAAACTTGGCAGATCATAATAACCCCAGGTGTAGTACTGAGGATGAAAATACGTCACATATCAATAGTAAACCGAAAATAGTTAAACCTGACGAACAACATTTGGAAGAAACCAACAATGATGAAGAACCGAAAGGAATAAGAGGCAGGAGAAAACCTTTGTACTCAAACAGTAATATCAATAATAAGATATCCCCGAGGAGCATGAAACCAGTAAGAACAGTTAATTCAAATCTTGTCAAAAATGTGACTTCGACTATGAAGAGTGGAACCGACTTGAAATCGGTCATTAGTAAACAGACTAAAAATTCTCCCACAAAAGTTGCTGTTACACAAAGTAAGGGCAGTAGCAGTGGATACAGAAGTGGTTCAAATTCCAACTCTCCGAAAACTAGTCCTGCAAGGGTGCCAGCAAATAAAAGCAGCCCAAAGCATAATTCACAAAATATGAAATCCAACCTTCCATCAAAAGGTAGGTACCAACATGAATGTTAAATTTTTTCCATTCTCAATGAAAACACTTTTCCCATACCAGAAGACTCTACACATAAGTTAGGTCTTTCAACACATAAGTTAGGTCTTTCAGAAACATAACAGTCTGCACTGATAGCAGACAAGCACTATTAGCCTTGAACAGACACCGTGTTACTTCAGGGCTAGCACTAGAGTACCACCAAGATTTAGCCAAAGCCTCGGTAGATAATAACATTATCCTGAGGTGGGTTAAAGGGCATGACAGGAGTAAAGGTAATCGCATTGCCGACTCTTTAGCCAAGGAAGAGGCTGGACTAAGAATTTTAGGACCCAGTGGCACCCACGGCCTGATGACTTCGACAATGGCGGAACTAGTCAAATGTTACACCCATGCTCAATCTTTAAAGAGATGGGATGAATTCAAAGGATGTAATCTTGCCAGGATCACCTTGGGCGACCCTGGGAAGCTGGCGCCGAAGAAATATCTGGCGATGACCAGGAAAAATCTACGCCTTACAGTAGGATTTCTGACTGGCCACTGTCAGCTAAGGAAACACGTACATAATGGGGCTAGTGGACACATCTCTATGCAGGATGTGTGAACAGGAAGATGAGACTGTCAGGCATGTCCTGTGCGAGTGCCCGGAGTTATCGTCAATAAGAGAGTGTGTGTTCGGCGAGTCTTAGCCTACACCTGCCGATATAAAGGAGATGTCTCCCAGCGACCTGTCCACTTTCCTAGAAAGGGCAGGATGGACGACGACCTAGGAGGACAACTCCTCGGGAGGATGTACAATGGGTCACATGTGGCCTAAGTGAGTGGGCTTACACTCGCCCTCCCTACTCTACAGATACATCGGAAACTATTGAAATTTGAACGGGTACACCACATGTCCACATTATTCAACATTTTTATAACTGATCTACCCAAAAAAATAATTAGATCAGGTTATCTAATACTTTATGCAGATAATACGTATTTTATTCTCTCAAGATAATCTAAGATGGAAATACAAAACAATTCGAATTGCAACTCGGCGCAATAATAACAAAATTTCTTTATATTCAGGCAAGTCAATAGCCTCCCAATCGAAAGTATGCTTTTTAAAATCCAAGGAGAATTCCTGGGGAACTCGGCAAGTATGAAATTTTTAGGTGTCTTATCTAGATCAAAAACTCACATGGAATGATCATGTTGATCATACAAGATCAAGTTCATATTGCTTCATTATCAGAAACTTGACTAATACAGTATAAATCAAAGTACTCAGATTGCTATATTTAGACCTTATTCAGTCATGTTATTACATCAGCCATACACCCAATAAAATATTTGCAAAATAATTGAATGTATATTCAAATTACCAGTTCATTATCCCACTTACAATTTATATATTAAAATGAACTTCTCAAGATCTCCTCTTGTATAAAATGAAAAAATGTTCATTTATTGATTCTGTTATTAATAAAAATTAACATTCATCTCCAAAATTTGATCTACTTTTGTTTATGAATATGGAAGTAGTCTTGGACTGACAATACAAACTTTTACAGTCTGTTAAAAAAATTGTGAACTGTGAACTCACCAATTTTAAAATTGAACTTGTTTTTAGGAACACCAGTATTGGAACGCCAAGGAACTTTCACAAAAAATGAACCCAGTGTAAGCAGTACTAGTGTTCCGAAAGCTTCCAGCAAAATACCTACACCTTCAGTAACTACCCGAATACCAACCTTTGGGGCGAAAACTGCCAGAACAAATGTACCATCAGTATCCAAAATTCCAGGAAATTACAATGCAAATAAGCCACCAGTCGCTCGCAATGGATTTATCAAATCGGCTAGTTCTGACAGGGCAAACAAAAATATGCGGATTTACAATAGGTCAACGAGTGCCGATAGCAGGGAGCCTGTTAGCAGAATTCAAACTAGTCATTCTGTGCAGAATTTGAAAAATGATGGGAAAATGCAAAATGGCACTGTTAAAAAGTCATCAATTCCCAGTCTTGCTCAAAGGTGAGAATTATGAAATGAAAAAAAAGTTTTATTGACAGTTTTTAGTATAATTTATGTTGATTGTTGATTTATGAAAAAAACGGATTGGATTTGTGTGAAGCTTTCGATAATCATGATCAGAGATAAAGTTTTCACGAGCCACTCCAAATAAGTCATTTGATATGGAGGGTGTAAAAAATCGTCAACTTTTATTTTCAGGGCGACTCATTTCTACATTTAAATCAATCCCTTGTCAGCAACCCCACCCCATAGTAACCCATTCGTCAAAAATTCAACCCTGTAACTTTTATGACATCACAATGGTAAGCTGTGCCAGATAAAAATAAATACTTTTTTCTCAATATGATTTTTTGTCACAAGATTAACTTGTTGACAAAGCATGAATCATGGGTTCCAAATTTTAAAGTACAAGTCAAAAATAAAAATGAAATGTAAATTATAATAATTGATTTTATGACATCATTATTAAATATTCAATGACTTATCATCTAAAAAACATACAATATAAATAAATTTGCCCGTTACATATACAAATAAACTTATTCAAAAAGATCCTATTATGTTTTCCCTGTGGGTTTAACAAATAATTGAATACACTGTACAATTAAACTCAACTTTATTCCACTACTACACTGCTAGTATAACAAAAGCTTTAACTGAACTTCAGAATAATACTCGAATGTTCATTGACAAAGACCAGTGGCAGCCGACGTTATTTTATGTTCAGGGGGTGATTTACAATACCAAAAAGATTTGAAATATTCCAGTAGACTATTAAAGGGTCTATTGACGAGACATTTTTGTATAGTCCTTCTAAATGAATCGATAGATCACTTTATAGACCTCATCTTGACTGACTGATGATTGTATATTTTAGTTCCGTTATAAAATAGTGAATCTTTAATTAAAGTCGAGATGGGAAGTCAAAAACTGAACTCCCTGTTTCGAATGGGATGAGTATTGACGAAATTGAATTTTGTTTTATGTTTAATCACTAAGCTATAATATAATTCCAAAATATAAGGCACTAAATTTTCAAAAATGAGCGTTTTTGCCTTAATCTGTCTCTTGCAGTGGCGTACCGAAATTATAATTATATGATAGACAACCTGACAGCAATGTTTTCCTTTTAACGCATATTTCCGAGAATTTAGTACCTACTATTAAGGTATTTTAGTTTAACCATTTTTAAGATGAACAGTGCAATGACAGTTGATATTTTATTGAAAACAAACAGTTCTCTGCATGAATGCCTGGGGTTAAATTTACAAAGATCTTGCAGTTTTATTTTTTCATACCAATACAGAAGACAGACAGGTTAGACTACATGCTACCCATAATTGTATTCCATATTGAAGTTGGGAATCAATCAATGTATTTTTCGCGCTACTGAAATTCAGCTCCTTACCCTCACCATATAACATTCGAAGGATATTCCACTCATCAGATATCTAACGTGATCATCAAATTTCAACCTATTATCAATAAATATAAATTTTGTGTTGAATTCATTTCGCAAGATTCCGTTATCCACAGAAAGATCAAGCAAACATTTGAATGATATTTCAATAGTTTTTGTGTTATTCGCCACATCACTTCTTATTTTTTTCAAATTAGATGATATCATTATATGCAATTCAATTGAATTTTTCTCTGTCTATAAAATGATGGTATCATGTGCAGAAAGCGTAAAGCTACTAAATAATTAGGTTTGTGTTTAGTTTTGGAATAGAAAGTGAAACTGAACAGAAAAATTTACATTATCAAATGTTCGAACTGAGCATCATTAACTTGCATGCAATGATAAAAACGAGCCTTCATTTCCTCCCTTTTATTCTGAAGAATTTCGGGTGTTAGTAGTATACAATGTGATATTTTTTTCCCGTAAATTATCCACAGTAGTTGGCAGTTTCCATGAATTCATGAAACAACTACAATACATATTCATGTCTTACATTTCTGCCAGAATGATTCTATTGAAAACACGAGCAGTGGTCCTTGTAGATTTTTCATGTATGTAGTAAAAACTCACTATTTAAATCCGCTCTTGAAGTGTATAAACCATTTTTTATAAAACAATAGGTAATAAACTTGAGTTCAAACAGGGCAAATATAAAAAAAACTCTTAATAGTAAAAATAAACTGACAGTCACTTTTTCAGAATCATGTTGATATTAACATCAATAATTTCAGCAGAATAATAATGTTTATTTGACAAGTAACGGGTCAGCCAAACGTTTACAACATACTCACGAGTTCCAGAAACTCCAGAGTAGTTTCTGAGCACTATGTGTACTTTAACAAGCAATTTTTGGAGTCAAACAGATGAAGCCACTGTGTGGCGAATCACGTTTTAGAAGAAAATATCGCCAATCATAGGAGTTTTCATCCATTTGACAAAACATGAATAAAAACATTTCAAAATTTCTTATATCGTCAATTATAAATGTCATTACTACTTCACAAGAATATCAAACTATTAGAAAACTTCTACAAATGAAAATACATATAGAACATAATTTTGCCACTAAATTCAAGAAATACATACATACATAATATATTTGGTATTTTTTACATGTTTCAAATAATAGTTTTACTTTGTCAATTTTAACATAAAGAGATTTATCAGTGGTGCTAATACTATTTTTTTTCAACAATTCTAATAGTAATTCTGTTAAATTCTCAAGCTTTTCTTGTATCCAACATACTAATTAATTCTTCTGGTTCTTTAGATACGTGGAGGATACAAGACCATTTTTTTAGTAGGACTGCTGTGGCAGCAGTAACAAAATAATATAATAAAATAATATAAACAAAAGTATATTCTGTATAATTCACTGTTCATATAGAAGTATTTGTTTTGAAAGAAAAATTGTTTAATTCAATGTTTATATGAAAGTAGCTATTTCAGGAGGACTTTCTTTCAGTTTGTGTCTGAAAGTTACTTCTTTGCATGATCTACACATCCATGTATAAAGTTACTTATTTTCAAATTGATTACTTCCTTTCTTTCTTTGGAAGATTCCCTCATCTTTTTTGTATCAAGATGGAGTAGTAGAAAGCCAAAACTTTCTTTCCCAAAAATATATTTTACTTCATTACTATTAGTATATAGAATTTAATTTCATTAATCTCAATATGAATTTTGGAGCAAGGTTATTAATAATTAATAAAACAATAAAAATGAGGAATATTTGTGTATTTAATACTATAACACAACTGCTTTTATTGAGTACGGTGTAAAATAACTTTTTTTATTTGCAGGACTGCCAGTAATACAAGTCTGAATTCTAATGGCAGCAGCAGCGCTAAAAAGCAAGTAACTAGTAAAATTTCTAGTTTATGGAAAAAAATTGAAGAGAGTAAAAAGCAACCTCCCAAAAAAGATACTAGGGTTTGGATTCAGTCAGATTCGACACCAGATTCCCCTAGATTGATTAGGAGTAATACTTTCGATAACAAGGATGGCATCATACTTAGAAATCAGTCATCTGATGAAGACTCCACCACAAAACGTATTTCTAGGTTAGGTTCATTTGTTGTGATGGATGGAAATGACGATTGATTCAAGTTCATGTCATATTTGATGCATCATCATCAAGGCAATGGTTTTTATTGAGATTTGTTTTCAACACGTTCTTCCTTAGGTGTCCCACAGAGTGGATATTGATCATCAGAAAAAATAATGTAAAATTTATTTTGTTCTGATGAATATTTCATTTCAGAGGTATCATCGATTGAATGTTTTTTTGTGCAAAAATTTATTAGTTTTTAAAGAAATTTTCACTTGTCCATTGTGGTTGAATGTTTTTTTTTTTTTAATGAAAACTGGTACTTTTGTTAATTTTTTTAAAGCCATAAAAATGTATTTCTAGTCCTATGTTTTTTGTCGTAAAAAGCATTTACTTAGTTGAAGACTGTATATGTATGTTTCGTGATATATTAGCTTAAATACTTGTATATATATATCCTGTTTAGGTAAATTTAGTAGTAGTTTTATAATATTTGTAAAAGTAATTTACTGAGTTGAAATAGTAATTTTAACTGAGAAATCAAGCTTTTAGATTGGAATATTCTGAAGATCGTTTCCAGTTGTTTCATTTCCGACCAATTGAAATTAAAAACTAAAACAGTAACACTTGTTTCTTCAGCCTAATCCACGAACCCATTATTAAAATTTTACGGTTAGACAGAGAACAAAGTCAGAACTGGAGGATTGGGGGTCAATTGTTATTTCTCTGAAGCCTGACTGGGTCATTTAGTACCACTTATTAAAATGAATAAGTTACTACATAATGGATGACAAAATGAAAAAGTGTTCTATTCATGGGATCGAGGAGACGCACAAGCCACAAATTCAAAGCTGAACAAAGGTTTCAACAGTTACAAAAGCCAATGTCTCTAGTATCAACTAGATTCTAGAAAAAGAGTTCTCATTCGCCAATTAACATCTAAGCTTGTCTTCATAGTGAATCGTCTTTGGAACCTACAATTATTTTTGATATTTGTAGTTCGTTTCCAGTCAGTACCATATATGGCGTCTTTTAAGAGGAGTATATCGCTCAATCTGGATTATTCAACTTAGAGACTGAAGAGTTCAAATGATGCATTGATGACCCAGCCAGTTCCTCTGATGGGATCCATGGTAGATTATGTAATATGTTCTTGAGTATGTATGCACATTTGCTAACTTGAAAGTAGGATTTTTTACACATATCAGATATACTCCCACATTGACATTTTTACATCTTTGTTGGATTATTACTATTGGTCATTGACCATTCGCATCTGTTTTAGTTATATTCGAAAACTATGTAGTTTCATTACAGACAATGATCTGTTTTCAAGCTAGAAAGAACATATTATATAACATGTATAAACTTGGTAAACTTTATTGACTACATAATGAATAAATTACACGAGTAGCAGGTCAAATTTAAAAGATATCACAAGATAGACAGTAACAGTAGGTACACATATAAATGTAGATATAAAAAAATATATAAATATATGCACAAGAATGTGAAACCTCGAATGTGTAGTACACATGCAATGACTATGGGCATTGCAATTTTATATTTTCACAGCAATGGACTAGTGAATTGTATATATTCTTCTATTGAATAGAAGCAATTTTGTTAATGTGTTGGTAACCACATTATGTACAGGTCTGTTATTTATTTAGGAAAACTAGACTGATGCCCCTATTTGGAGATGCTGGAAACAGTGATAAATACACTGATAGTAAAAACTCAAAAAATAATTTATACGAATTTGACATGTGAATTATTTTGCAACAAGCTCCTCATTTTGCAGTTGATGGGAGGAATTATTTGAGTAATGTTTATGAAAGACGATGGATCGGACGCCAAAGATCTGTAAAATGGCCTCCAAAATCACCAGATCCAACCCCCTTTACATTTATTTCTAGAGGGTTACCTAAAATCTGAAGTATACAAGACTCTGTGCCACTTTATTCAGGAATTGGGTGCCCGGATTACGAAAGTGTGTACAACAATTACCAATTACTCAAGAAGTTTTTCATAGCGTCAGCAAAGAATACACATCCTATAAAAGCTCGTGAGTACTATTTTAGTACTGAAATTAATAGTAACCACCCTGACTATCAGATAGCGATGTCAGTACGATGACGGTATTTAATATCGTTATCAAAGGAATTGGGTAGCAGTCACTGACGAGTTGGACAGATCATATTGAAGTTGGGATGTACGTCAAAGTTAAATTTAAAAAGTTGACTGGTTGCCAGCGGCTGCTACCCAATTCTAATGGTAAACCACATTAAATACCGACATCATACTGCTATCGTTCTCTGGTGGTCAGGGTAAGTACTATACATTTTAGGATACACTAAAATTGTACTTTTGAGCTTTTATGGTCTTTCTATTCTTTGGCGTCAGGGCTGAAACTGAATTAGACAACAAAGAACATTTATTGTTATAACAGATAAGCTGTTAGTTTAGTTGCCTTCCTTTTTATGGTGTTTTATTTTCAAACATAACAAGTAATGAAGCGAATTTAAAGTTTTCTGCAGAGCTGAATGGAGAATAACGCATCCTTTCAAATGAGCTATCACTGAACACCCCATGCCATTCAAATTTTTCGAAAGGGTTGCTTCCCTTCTGAAGAGGATGACAAAAGTTTATGAAAAGTGTGTGGCACACATGGTAATTTCTTTTTTTGATCTTCATAAACTCTTTAATGCAAATCAATTTGGCTTTAGAAGAGGGCGGTCAACAACGCATGCCATAATAACATTTCTTAATGAACTATATAATAATCTAGATGAAGGAAAGAGAACCCTGGGTGTTTTCTTGGATCTTAGTAAGGCATTTGATTTGGTTAACCATAAAATCCTACTAGATAAATTAGAAAAGTATGGATTTAGGGGCATTCCATATAAATGGTTTGAAAGTTACCTGGGCAATAGAACACAATATGTTGAGATAGACAAGTTTAAGTCTATTCACTGTAATTCTACCATGGGAGTGCCACAAGGTTCTATTCTGGGACCATTGCTTTATATAATATATGTCAATGATTTTGCAGGTGATGTTGTAATGTATGCAGATGATACAACCTTACTGGTAAATGGACCAAACATCTCCGCTACAGTTGACTCTGCTCATATAGAAATATTGAAAGCACAGGATTGGTTCTCCAAAAATAAATTAGTTTGCAATGATAAAAAATCCTCTTTTGTAAGATTTAGTTATGCACCAAAAGGGTATGATCACAGCTTACTTTTAAAAGCATCAAATGGTTCGTTAAAACAAGTAACATCAGTTAAATTCTTGGGACTTAACCTCTCAGAAGATTGTAAGTGGAATCATCACATTCATGAAATGTGCAAAAAAATATCACCAATGTGCTATTGCCTGTATCAACTTAATAAAATTGTGGACAAATCTGTATTACTTATGTTTTATCATGCACATGTTCACTCTTTAATCTCATATAGCATATCAGCTTGGGGTTTATCTAGTGAAGCGCAAAGGGTGTTTATTTTACAAAAGAGAGCTGTCAGAAATATTCAAAGAGTAAGTAGACGCACGAGCTGTAAAGAACTATTCAAAATCCTAAAAATTTTAACCTTACCTTGCATTTATATTTACCAGATACTGATGTTTGTAAAATCAGACAGACAATTGTTTGCTCCATTGAATAGAAACAAATACAGTACAAGAAATTCAACTTTATTGGAAATACCAATTCACAGACTGGCCAGGACCGAATCAAGTCCTTTTTATATGGGTATCAAATTATTTAATAAATTGTCACCTCATGTTAGAGAAATGTCGCTGAGAGAATTCAAACAGTATGTGAAACAACTTTTAATTGACAAAGCCTATTACTCTGTTGATGAGTATTTGAAAGATCCTATGTAATGTATAATTGGTTAATGCCTTCATGGGTTGATTAGAATGCCAACACAATTACCAAATGTGGCTCAGTTCATAATTATATTTAATTTTGATGTACCTACGGTTTCAATCATATAATCGACTGTTTCAATCAACGGGGTTTTCTGTCTATGTATTTAGATTTTATTTTATTTTATTTTATCTATCATATTTATTTTTTATTTTTATTATTGACTTGTTCTATGTCATCATGTTATGATCGTTATGAACGAATAAATATTATTATTATTATTATTATTATTATTAGGGTCGGTCGGCTACCGGTCGGTTCGACAAGGGTGCTTTGTTCACTCAGTCAATTGGCCGATGTGTGAGTCGATGGTTCAAGCCCCAGGCTGAACGCTCGATTTTGACTTGCTACTCTACCCAACCCATGTTAGGAATTATGCGTTGAAAGGTAAAACCTCGTTAGTCCTTAGCTCGCACAAGTTTCGACTTCTGAGAGATGTCATTCATAGGGGTGCGATAGATGGCTAACGGAAAAACATTAAACATTTTTTTAAAACATATAACTATTCACACAAAAATATACATTTGGTGAAATCAAAAGTCGACGTGTCTTGTCGATTTTTCTGGAAAAAGTCCAGTAACGAGTTATATAGGGGGGTAACACTTATGATGCTCACTAGATGACAATGGAGAGGAGATTGAATAATGACACAAATACATAATAATGGAGTTTATTCACTTTAAAAACTAAATTAAAAGCACGGTCACAGACAAAGTTGATCTGATCAGAGAAAAACAAGTTTATATACAATATCTGACATTTTGCTGCCAATCGAAATAATGAAAAAATAATAAATTGATAACTAGAAATAAGAGTATAAGAACCAAAGTTACTGTACAATTTTCATTTTGAACAGTTGTGGGGAACTCCAATCGAAATAGAGAATTGGATGAGTAAAAAACAAATGAAGTGAAAATAACAAAAAACCACGAAAATTCGTGTATACTTTATCATTACATTATATACAAGAAGTTTAAAACCTAAAGTAAAGGTTTTAACGAAATTCTAGTAGGATAAACGTGTCTTAAATTACTTCTAAATCAGTTCAAATTGTTTATTCATCCGAGATTAAACTCTTTCAAAGTGTTCCACAAGATATTATTAGACATAAAGAGCTGAAATTGTGAAGATCAAATGAATGAGTTGTTGAATCTACTACTGGATTTCTCTGGCCATTCTCTTAGTTTCGTGAATATTTCAATTGAAAACATATAAATTATAAAGTGTTTGCCATATAGACTAATTATTTATCATTATAGAAAAAATATTCAAACAGGGGTGTCCACTAATTTTGTGAAATTTTTCGAAAATCCAATGAGTTATGATGCCTTTACTTACACTGGATTTACCAGGCAATAGTCATTCATAATTTTCCTCTGTCCTAGTGATCAATTAGTTCTTCGAGAGACACACTGGTAAGGTCTATATTACTTTTCCCAAAATTTATATAATGATTTTTTTTCTATATTCAATTGTTGAAATTTACTTTCAACTCCATATATTAAAATGTCAAAAGTTAGCATTAATAGAGACGAGTCAGAACATGTGTAACTAGCTGTATAAGAAATTTTTGCCGACATCGCCATAGATACCTTCAATACAAGCAACAAACAGGAGTGGACTGCAGGCTGATCATAGATCTAGTGTATTCGTAGGGTTTTACGACAGAAGTACCTCTGCAAAAATGATTTTGAAGACAATAACATTAACCGAATTTTTTCTTCAATTTGTGAATCTTTGATTAACGTTTTGTTTAATGATTTCTTTATAAGGCCTTCTTTGAAAATACACTTAGATGATTGTTGCAACTTTATTCTACGATGTGATCTTGTTGATGGGATGCAAGTATAATATTTGAAAGAAATGAACTTATCTATATGAGAGAATATCAATACAAATGTAACCTTGTTCTGTACGAGATGATCATACTCAAAAACATACAAATATATCTATATAAATAAGTTACCAGGCTTATGACATCCCACCCATGATCATCTTGTGTGACAATCATAGTTTGGAAATAATGAAGTTTGGAATGGAACCATAGAAGCAGACAGGGATTGTAGAAATGCGGTACTACATTGTGATCATCTCAAACAAATCATTGGGTACCAAAATAATTGAAATTTACTTGGCAACTTAATTTTAGATAAGTTTGAATTATTTTGTTGAATCCTAGTTTTCTTCAGTACATTTGTAGATAGATTCAATGAAACTATAGTGCATGAATGATATTCAATACTGCACTTAACTTTAAGAGATAAACTAGATGAGTTTGGAGAACAAGTAACATTATTACTTTATTATATGTACAATACATATTTTCAGGGCCAGTATAAACTTTCTCGACTTTTCTAAGGTTGGTGGACACCCTAATAAATGTAATAAATATAAAATATGTAACATACATATAACAATGAAAAATTAAAAACCCAAAGTACAATGAAATTTGATTATGTGCCGCTATTTTTAGCATTCGTCTGTATGCAATATATACAAAAATAGATCACCTTAAAAGTTTCGATTCAATTATATTAAATGATTATTTGGAAATCATTATCTTCACAAAAAATTTAAAGGACCCAAGAAATACCAATCTACAGTTATACACTGGATTTTGTTTTAATCAAAACACACACACATGGCAATACAATTCAAATTCATGGTGCAAGTGGTCTAAAACATACAGTGTCATAAAAAGTTATATTTAGTGTCTGATCTTGTTGAAACATGAGGAACCAGAAATAATAGGGACGTTGACTATTTGAATAAAAATTCAAGTTTTCATTAGAGAAATTCTGAAAAAACCAATATTTTCCTTTAAAGGAATCAATAAAATGCATTGTGTACTGTGTTATTTGCTCCCAATTTTCTGTATGTATAAAGTGAACGAATAATTTCTCAGGTTATTTAATTGCAGTTCTTGCACAACTCAGCCTAAAAAGATATGTATAAACTCAACTTTCACAAAAAAAAATACGAAAAATCTTTATATCCTTTTCATCAGTTTACCTAATATTTAGCAACATTTGACATCATAGTAGACATGTGACGAGAATTTAAAATGTGATTTCCTAAGTATACATTGTGTTAAAATATAGCTTTAAACATGTTTAAACTCAACACAAAAAAATAGTCAACACCCCTGTTCAAATGTTAATTTTACTAAAGTAGAGATCAGCATACGAATGAATCAACAATGAAGGTGTAAAAGTTGATTTTTTACTTCAAGTTCCTTTTCCTACAGTCATTTAGTTTTAAAAAAGCTTGTCTCTTAAAATATTAGAAAAATTGAATTCTGACGAAGAGCAATAATGTTATTCAAAAAGTAACAGATGACATGATGACAATACAAAACAACTTTAATGACAAGAAAATGAGAAGCTTCAGTTAAACGAATTTTCAACAGATATGGTCATAAAATGCAGGAAAACGGAAAAAAGTGTATACAGTGCCATTTAAATATTATTTAACGAAATAACAATAGGAAATGAGACAGAAACGGAAGGTAAGTAAAAATCAACCTCCATCTGTAGTACTGCACAGTACTGCTGGTAATATAATAATCAACAAATATTTGCATTATCCAAGACTATTTGAAACCCTCCCCAAAAATGGATTTCTAAAAAAATTTAATTAGAAACTTCATCATAAATAGTGGTATGATTGCACAGTTGAATATCATAGAAAAAATTATTTACACCATAACACTGGCCAGAGATACAAACTCCTACAACAAAAAAATTACAGTCATAATATTCCACTCAAATTACACATTTATCACATCTCCCTAAAAGTCAAAAACTCAAAAGATCACTAACGGGTGTTGGCTACTCATAGGCACTAATATAAACAATGTTTACTTTTGAGACAGTTTAGTTTATTACCAACAAAAACAGAGATAGAATGATGCGTTTAACGCATACCGAGAAATGAGGGAAAACAAAATAGGTGCAAGTAATCCAGTATTTTTAGCCATCTTCTTTTGGAGGGGTGAACCAACCTTTAAAAAAATAGATTAATTAATCATCTTAGGACCAAAATAGTTGTCTTTGTTACAAATAACAAATAATTATGTATTGGTATAGATATAAATTTCATAAATGAAAAAAAGCTTTCATTTACTCTTGAAACATTCAATATGGTTCACAAGTTCAAAACAGTTTAAGAAAAGTTACCAACACACTTTCAGGCGTTGTTACTGGCTTTAGAGATGAATGTTTATTGCAAGTTTAGGAGTTTGAATAACTTGATCAACATTTCAGAAACGACTTTTCAAATTTTGGAGAAGATATGCAAGTTTCTGCTAGTTTTTGAGAGAAATTGTTAATCAATTGATGGATGTATCCGTTAATACCAAGGTAGGAGAGCATCATAAAAATTGAGAAATGTTTTTATACCACTTGTTTATCGGTAGATCGTTACTGCAGTTTCGTCCTATTTGAACATTTTCAAATTTTATTGTTCTCGTTTGAAAATGTCCTTATAGGATGAAACTGCAGTAACGTTAGTTACAAATACAAGTGGTATGAAAACATAGGATGTTTTATTTCTCAAATTCAAAATTGTTAATCCAATATTCATGAAATCATCTTTCACTCTGAGTTAATATGGATTTCACAAAAAAAAATAGCAGATGATTTGACTCTAAAGTAGAGGGTGTCTTTTAATGCCAGAAAATAACTATATATGTTGTGTATACAGATGACAAGGTAGTAAAGGATATGCATATTTCATGCAACATTACACAAAGGTTTTCCACTGAAAAAATGAAATATAAGGAATAAAATTATAACACACCATGAATAAATCTAGGAATACTACAAATAAAATTATAAAAATTTCATATGACCAACTTAAAACTACAGTAGTATAAACAAAATAATCCTGAATTGAAAATTATCAATGGAATTAGAAATGATAGGACAAATAATAAATTTAAGCTCATTATTAATAATAAAGACACTATAAATCTAAGATTTAAGGGGAGAAGGCATGCCAGTTGAGGTTATGAAAGGAAGGTGTTCCCATTGTATAAAAAATCGGCCTGTTTTTGATCTGATTAGTAATGGGTGTCGCACAGTGTATATCTGATGGTCTAATCTCCAAGATTTTCCACAAATCGTTTGAGATATCCAAGGGGGGCAGTTTGGCTTTGTGTGAAATTTTTTCAAAATGAGCGTTTCAGGTGAGCTGTATCAAGGATAACACCCAGATATTTCACCTCCATTGCAAATGGAATAAACTCACCACCGAGGAAACGTGTAGATAGATCATTCAGATTACTTGTCCTAGCGAAAGGAAATATCACAGTTTTGCTGTGGATTACAAACATCTGCTCCCTATGGCATCAATTGTAAATAACTTCAGTATTCTTTGAAGGAAATTACAGGCTACACTTCCCGATGTGGTCCTCGTCAGGACGACAAGGCCATCTACATAAGCTTGCAGATCTAATTCTCTACTGTGAAGGACTTCAAGTAGACTATTCATCAGGAGTGACCACATAAAGGGAGAAACCTTTTTCAGTCAAGGCTGATCCTATAATAAATTTAGGTAGTGCATTGTTGAATGCCTCTATTCCATATTGAGAAATATGGCTACCACAACACATATATTAGTAATATCTGAAACATACCCCAGGCTTCTAATCACTGAGTTGTACAATAAAAAAATCTGGCTCCAAAACAGTCCAATTATCAGATCAAAGAGTTGCTTCTGGCTAAATTCTATTATACTCTTGATAAATATATGAATGATATATATAATCTATGATCCTGTACATACATTTTCACATTTTGTAATTCTATTTTTGTCAACAATTTAGGGCAAAGTATATTATGATTTTGATCAGGCTGACAAGTAATCAAAAATTTAGTTCTAAAGCCAAACTTACCGTTTTTCTCGTGTATCTGAACTAGAGATTTGAAGCTCTGTTGGGCGCGTGCTAAACTATACTGTCCCTGGGTACACACTTTGGGAGCCCCAAATTGTATTCGAGCTTTCCCTTTCACCAATGTCGCCGATATCTGCATAATCACAGCTTCAACTGTATAAGCACTGGACCACCCTTGCTTTGTCAGTAACTCCATGCAAATGGCACCGCCCACCAAAACATAACCCCCTGAAAGAAATTAAATTTTAACCATTTGGGTAAGTAGAGAGATATAATTTATTTAAAAGGAGTCAGTCCATGATTTAATTATTTTCAATACAGTGTGCTTTACATTTTTAAATAATAAACTGTTGTCTATAGGGTTTTAGGGAAATATGATAAATTGGAGAGAATCACATATTAACAATATTCGATTAGAATGCAGAACTGCTTATAGATGAATTAGAAAAGATCATAATTGGATTTAAAGAAACACATTATTTTCAACATATCAAATTCAGTATTCGTAACATTTCTTTTGCGAAAATAGTTAACCAATGAGTTCTTCATTATCCACAATATCCAATCTGCTACAGAAAAAGGTTTTTAAGGCACTTATTTAGAGTGTCAGTTTCATTATCTACTCTGTCTACTATAAAAAATTCTAAATAGGAATTAATATACTTTTTCTTACCTGAAATAACTGGATAAACAACTCGAACAAAAGGAGGCTCGAAAGGGTAGGTATCTTTGAATAACATGTTCAGTAAAATGGAATCTTTACCCTCTTTCTCTTTGAGAATCTGCAGGTCATGACTGAGGGGACTATCAGGGTCGACACACATGAGACGAACATTCCACTCATAGAGCGAATCATTCACCAGTTCGATTTGATACATTTTTTTCTTGAAAGAATCTGATCTGTAAATATCTCTCAGTTCTTTCATCAGTCTGTCTGTTGCTTGGACTGAACCAGAAACTGAACCCTGAAAAGAATATAAGGATTGAAAATTATGTATTACCAGAATTTTGATACTATTAATATTAATAATATAGTAAAACTTCATGTATAGATTTTTTTCTGATTGATTCGGCCGTTACTTGATGAAGATCCATAGTAATTTCATAAACGACACCTCACGATTTGATCTCCACAAAAATATGTTTTTTCGGTTAACTAGCTATCGCACCCCTACAAACGACAACCCTCAAAAGTCGAAACTTGTGCGAGCTAAGGACTACGAGGTCTTACCTCTTCACGTGTGATTCCTAACACGGGTTGGGCACTAGCAAGTGAAAATTGAGCGTTCAGCCTGTGGCTTGAACCATCGACTCACACATCGGCCAATTGAATGAGTGAACAAAGCACCCACGTCGAACCGCCCAGGAGATCAAATCTTGAGTAGTTTATGAAATTTCATGTATAGAGACAGATACAATGGTAAATGAAAATTTTGAATGAATCAGATATTTGAAAAATATGATTTTCAATAATTTATAAACTTATTTAGAAGTTTTCTTTCTCAACAACCTGCAAGTTTTTCAACACATGAAACGAACTACATTTTCAGGTTAGTTTTTATCAATATACATTTTCAATCAATGATTTCTAGTGTCATCGAACTCTCAAAGACATATGCCCAAATTTTGAAAAACATCGCATATGAGCTGAGGGGAATTGGACATTTGGCAAAACGAGATGAAAAAAAAAACAGTGATACAAATACAATTATTATTCAATGGGAATAATAAAAAATAAGGTAAATATTAAAATTTCGCGGGCTACCTACATTCGATTAGAGATTTTTTTTTATTTTGCTGCGCTCGTCTCAAACATATATTCACTTTCAGCTGTTTAGTTTGTTGGTGAGAGGCATAAAAGTTAGAAGTGTTTTGCGTGTTGGCGATTTTTTGCTTTCGAAAAAAATAGATTGTGTAAAAATTGGAATTAAGTTCTTGAAAACACTTGAAATGTTGACAGTGACATATGGTGATTGTACTCCGAGTCAGAAAAATGTTTACAAGTGGTACATGATTTTCAAAGAAGATCGGGAAGATGTGAATGAAGACGCTCGCCCACCAACATGAAAATGTTGAGAAAGTGAATAAAATTGTTATGGAGAATCATTGAATCACTATCAGAGAAGTTGCTGAGGATGTCAGCATATCGGTTGGCTCATGCCATGCAATGATTTCAGAAATTTTGGGCATGTGGCAGCGAAGTCTGTTCTAAAATTGCTGAATTTTGACCAAAAAAACAGTCTCATGAGCATCGCTCAAGAATTGTTGAGTGACGACAACAGCGATCCAGATTTGCTTTAAAGGGTCATAGCTGGTGACGAATCATGGGTATGTGGTCATGACATTGAAACCAAAGTCCAATCGTCCAAATGGAAGAGTCCAGGAGAGCCAAGACTAAAAAAGGCAGGCAAAGTTTAAATGTCAGGCTTTTAATCACTGTTTTCTTTGATTACCATGACGTAGCGCATGAGAAATTCTTGCCTCATGGTCGTATGGTCAATAAGGAGTATTATATTGAAGTAGCGGTCCGCTTGCGAGAAGCAATACAAAGAAAACGTCTGGTATTGTGGAAAAACAATTCATGAATTTTGCATCACGATGATGTACTTACTCACTCATCATGGCTTGTTCAAAAACAACACTAATCATGCCTCAGCCAGCGTATACACCAGATTTGGTCCCCTGCGCCTTTGGCTGTTCCCAAGATTGAAGAGACCGTTTTGCAACAATTGAAGAGATAAAGAGAGAGCTCAAGGATTTACCCTAAAAGTGCATATCAGAATTGCTTTGAGGAATGGAAAAAACCCTGGCACAAGTGTATTATATCTGAGGGGGGGACTACTTTAAAAAAAAAAATCTGTTTTTCCGTTAACCAGCTGTCGCACCCCTACGAACGACAACCCTCAGAAGTCGAAACTTGTGCGAGCTAAGGATTAACGAGGTCTTACCTTTTAACGTGTGGACGTCCTAACACGGGTTGGACGGTAGCAAGTGAAGATCGATCATTCAGACTAGGACTGAACCACCGACCAACACGGCAGTCAATTCGAGTGAGTGAACAAAGCACACACACCGAACTGCTTGGCTACCGACCGACTTTGAAGGGAACAAAATAGAAATTGATGAATAAATGAACATTTTTTGAGAAAAATTAAAATTCATCTTAGTTTTTGAACATACCTCGTACGTTATCAAAAAAATCCCTTTTTGGGAATCATGTTCTGAATGTTACCATTGCTTCACTAGATTTTTCATTATTTGTAGGCAATATAACAATACTTCAAAATCAAGAAATAATTATGTTACAGGAACTTCAAACCTGGAACTAATTATGGAAGGCATTCTAAATGATAAAAAAGAAAGTGGCAAGTTTTACAACCTATTTAAATGTCTAGAAGCGGCAGCAGCATATCAAATATAAAAACGAACAGAATTCCTCATCTGTATTTTCCTAATCTGTGACATTTCCTTCCTTTGACATTATTGTTGCATTCTACAACAAATAAATGCAAATATTTACTGGTGACCGAAAAAAGGCTCAAATACTGTATCTGAATATTTTTACAGTCATCTAAGATTATTACTATGCTAATTAAATTCATTTTTCAATGAAATGTAACAATGGTTCAGTGATAGAAATCCTAAATGTGCCTGAAGACATGAAGTGAAAGCACCTGTATTGATTCATTTATCATTACATTGCAACATTTTGTTTTTTACTTTCAAATTAGGATTCATATTCTTTGTAAAGGATAATTTGAAAGTTACAAATTGATAAATATATTTATGAAAAAATGGAGGTCAGTGAAAATATGTGAAGGTTTCAATTTATGAATACAAATTTTTAACGAATCTTGAACTAAAATTATATTTTTTATCTCTGATTTCAATCAAGTGATTGCCCTACTCAAACTACCTTAAGGTAATCCAGCCTTTGATTTTGCCTTAAACGTTCTAAGGTTGCTAAATGTTCTACGCCCATTTCATCAGCTTTTGGTCTGTTATCCTCCATTTCCATGGCAAGTTCCTCATCAGCGTCACTATCATCTTCAGCATCGCTGTCTCCTATATCGATATCAGCATCACTATCTAGGCCTTCATCTTCCATTGCCTCAACACCACTGCTACTTATTCTATAAACAAGAAATGATACAATACTACTAGTTTCCATTGAAAAAAATCCAACTGAAATATCATAAAATTATTTATTTCAGTCTGATTTATTCAAAATTACAATATTTAATATCTGTTTGAGGTGCTGCATAAAATCTGTGTGGAAACCATTGAAATCACTACAAAATAAAACTATAAATTGTATTTATAAATAACCATTTTTAGAGCCAACAAATAAAAAATACGTTCAAAATATGTTTTTCCATTAACCAGCTAAACTATATAAACCTAGAAACCTATTACACATAGATTATCTCTTCAAATCAAGATTAGTATTTTTATTAATTCAACTAAAAATAATAATAAACAATCAAATATTCCATATATCGTTAATTCTGATATTCATGATCATATCATCAGACAATTGAATTGTTTAAAAACTGTACAAATAAGAAGCAATTTTGGAAAAAAAATAATTGTATTTCACTGGAATCAACATTTATAAGCCTGCTCAATAACGTAAAAAAATATCAATGTTATCACTAAATTCAAAATAGAAATGAAAAAATATTACAAATCTATTGATATGTTATTATTTTATACATTGTATTCTTTTTTAATACATAATAGGAACTCATTTGTTATATTTTTTTATTTCCCTGTATAAACATGTATGTTTCTTGGGATTATTGAAGTTATTATTATCAACTTCTTAACTGAAGTCATCGCACTTTTTATCTTAGAGACAGTTTGCCTTATTTATAAACATAAATCGAAGTTCAACTTTGCTTCTACTCCTTATGCTACTCGCAATAGCAATTATACCTTTAGACTTCCCATCCCAACTTCGAGTTTAATCAAGGATTCCATATACTACAATGGTGGTAAATTGTTCAATCATTTACCATTAGAAATGAGATCTGCAAATTTAAGCAACGTTCATTTCAAAAAGGCGGTGAAGAACCTCCTTGTGGATAGACCCTATTATAGTTTGGAAGAGTATTTTAGCGAATCCTTTCAATAATATATTACTAATATTTTTACTACTATTGTACCATCACTTTATACATGGTGGTATTTTATCTATACATTTTTAGAACTTTTTTTTATATTTACATTTATACTTTTTTAGTAATTTTTTTATATCAACATTGTATTTCTTGGACTTTGTCAATAAGATGCAAATCTTCGGACAATAAAGTATATTTTGATTTGATTTGATTTGAATTCAATGGTGAAAATTCAATTCCGATGTGCGGTTCTTGATAAATTAATGAAAATATATCTACTAATACTAGCGGTATTTACCTATAATTTTTCATATCTATGGTTGAGAAATAAACATCATAATAAAAAACAAAAATGTACTCATCTGACACGCAGTGTTTAAAATTTTGAGGAGTAAATATATAAAATAATAAATCGAGGTTCAAAATAGTTATTGTTTTATGTAAACTGAAAGGCTTACACATTACGCAGATCACAAAATAAAAATCATCTGATATTTGAAATTTACTCTTGTTGTGAATGTAGAATACAAGCCTGATGTTCAGATAAAAAAGCATCTATACCGAAAATGGTGACGTTAAAGGAAAAATACTTATTGAGAGGGCTAAATTGAGAAAGGGAATAGTGCCAGAGTTGATCAAATCCCTAATTAAAGACTGACTAACAGACAGTGCCATCCATAAAGTTTGCATTTTTTACTACTGGAATTCTGTAATATGACTTAACCAATAGTGGGTAAAATGTTATGTCATTAAAAAAAAAACAGAGAAAACTTGGCCAAATAAATGCAGATGGGTCATTATGCTCAGCGCTCACAATTTCAGGACTTAATGAGTATTTTGGATAGATATTATCCATACGAACGTTTCATTGCAATATATTATCTAAATAATTTTTCGAATTTCTATGATGGTAACAGATTTTTTTTAATAAAATACGCTTCAGTCGCTCAATGTTCAGTAGTAGTTGCAAAGTAGCAAGTTTTTCTGAAATGATAATACTGTGCAGTAACTACCATAGATGATTCACTTGTTTATTGGGTAATTTTGGTAGTTTCACTATGTTTAAACATGTGAAGACCATTAAGGTAGAGAAAAAAATAGTGTAGGTCTAGCTAAATCCAATGTTATTCTAGAAAATGAACATCTAATTCCATTGGGTAATACAACTTATTCAATTATTTCCCTTGAAGTTAACTGCATTTTAATTCTATTTTCACTACAATTATAACAAAAATCAACACAGCAATCTCATTGAGTTTGTTTGAAAGATACGAATGTCAAATTGTTTTTTTCTCTTCATGGCACACTCATTATTAATTTCAAAAATAAACTAGAAATATCTTCAATGAAACGCGAAGTATCAAGAACCGATCCTGTTTAAAAATTCGTTTGAAGGTCAGATTTCTGTTGTCTTATAAAAATAGTTGTCTAAGAAAATTCAAATTGGTATTCCAGATTAAATGTGACACACTGTAAAAAATTATTAGGTTGGATTTTCATCAAGATTTATTTCAAATTAGTAAATCCATGTGATTAAAAGACTCACCGATTGGTCATTTGGGGGTCTAAGAGATGCAGTCTGTCCAAATCTGGAGGTTCCGGTAGGGTGTGAAGACGACATAGTTCCCTAAGAAGAATGATCACCTGATGTAGGACATGATTATCCAAACCTACTGTATTACTTAAAATTTGAACAGCATTTGTTATACTAGTTTCTTCTGAATCTGCAAACCAAACTGGTGGTACTGCTGGGTAGGTTTCCTGAAAACAATAAACTAATGTTTAAAGGCTGGTTTGTCAGATGTATGAAATTGTTTTACACTACAAGAAAATCCTTAAGGCGCTCTAAAAGCGGTGCCTGTGCAAAAGTGGCGATTCACATTGGAATTGAATCGCTGCAGATTATATCCATTTGGAAAAACGTTCTCAGGAAGCTCTCCAAATGAAAGAGTTTTTGAACAGTGAAATTAGAGGTGTACTGAGTTGAATTTCAAAATAATGAACAGCTGATTAAGGATATAATGATTTCTGATATCACTGGTAGCAAAGCGACTGGACTATAGTTATTTGTAAGATTTTTCTTGCCCTTTTTTCGATAATGTATTTACTTATAGTAAAACTTCTAGGAAGGTGTTATTATAATTTTTTTAAACATATTATTTTTGTGTAGGAGGTTTCTTGATGGTTTTTTGGATTCGTAACCTTCTACAACCTGAGAAATAAATAAAGATCAACAGAGAGTTGCTAAAGTGTTATAAAAGGCAAAGTGGAAAGTTCACCACGAAAAGTTACTAAGTAAAAAGAGTCCAATTAGTCAGTAATCTATCATATTTATAAATTTTGCATGAAGTGATATATTCAGCCAAGATAAGCAACATATGGAAACCTCTAATCAAGCGAGAAAACAGAAAGCGAGAGGAGAGAGTGGGGAGAGGTGAAAGCGCAAAAGTGACCTATAAATCATTTCGACTATCAGGAATAGTTCAGTTATGACCCGAAGGCATTGTGGATACTAACAATCGAAACATCATGAAGTAACTTGGCCTGAAATATCTTCTTATTTTGGATTCTTTTGGTATTTTTCATCATTTATCTTCATTATTTAACTATAATGTATTTTTACTTCACTTTTGTATATTTATATTATGAATACACTGACCCGTTACTAGATGAAAATTAATAACACAATTCATTATAATAATTATACAATATTCACATTATAAAATTTAATCAAGACGTGCTTCATTGTAGCTTCATCATACTAAACACGTCAAGTTTTGTCCTTAAAACAATTATACATGATAATAATCATAGAATTTTCACAATAAATTTTAAGTGAGAGGTGTTTTACTACACTGTACTTTCATCAGTTGGACTGGTAGATACAGAGTAGCGTAGAGTTTTATTTAATTATGTCATACCCTTTTTTTGGGTATTCTCTGTGCCTACGATTTCTCAGTATTTTTTTTTTGAGTGAGCAAATGGGTCGTGAGTTAACAACAAACCCAAATGTCCATGCGGTTTCCCTTGTTGATTTGTTTTATTAGTTTTATGTTCTCTGGTGGGAAAACTTGAACATCCATAAATTCAACAGTCATAAATCACTTATCGAGGAACAAGTACAAATCAAAACACAACAAGATAGATATTACCATAGTACTCGCATACGTATGTTCAGGCTTTACACCATAAATATATATTTTAATGACAAATTATATATGATCTTTAGAACTTTGAATGTAACTTTTCAATGAAATGAAAAACGAATGTCACACCTTGACAAAATCTTCTGCAAACCTGATAGTTGAAAAATTGAGTATTCCATCCATAAACAATGTCCTAGATATTGATATTGGTACTTCAACTTGGTGGTATCAATAACTCTGATTTCATGAATAATTTTTAACGGATCAATACTCTATCCCAATATTTTCTATGAAGAATGTTGTGTGAAATAGGAACACAAAAAAAAAGGGAAAAGAAAAGAGACCTGGAATTGAAACGAGGATTCATAAAAGGTTGACATAAGTGAAACAAGAAAAGCTTACCTTGGATGAGAGATTTAATTAATTTGTTTAATTAATCTGTTGAGATACTTTGCATTTAACAAAACTCGTTGTTTGAAATTTTTCTCAAATCCATAAAATATGAATTAAATTCAACAACTTAAAATTTCTTTTATGCACTCAACGGTTTTTTGATAGTTCCTTCTTCGAATCTCGAAAACAAAATTAATTCTTAATTCTTGTATTTCTCCAGCAGAAACAATAGGTATGCAAAAAGGCCATGGGTTTAAATAAAATGGATATACCAGTGAACCTCAGTTTGAATTGAATCATTCCAAGGTTGGGGTATGGTTGACTGAACTCTTTTATTATCTGTCAAATAATTTGAAGAGATAGAGACTTCTGTTATGTGAAAAGTGGAAATGTGTCGCATAGTGAATATTCCTATCATCTATTGTTGATTTTGTCAAATGTAAAATTTTAGACATCAAAACATTTTGATAGTCTCTGTATAATGGAGTTATTCTAAATACGATGTACACTTGGTGTCATACAGGCTGTTCTACTTATTTGATCTTCTTTTAATTTTATCTTCAAGTAATAAACTGTGACAAATTGAATTGTTACAATGTTATATATAAATACATTTATAACTATGACAGGTCACAGAACTTGAAAAAGGTCATTGCAATAAAAATGAAATGTTAAACACATAAAAGAAATACATATAAATAACACATTAAAATGTTATTTGAAAATAATTATTGGCGACCAAATGACCATTTGATGCTGAAAGATAATATATATGAGTATTTTGAAAAACTTGTTTGGTTCAAATATTCCATTATTTTGTACGTAGTTAAAAAACTAAATTAGATGAATGATTCATTCTGGTAAAACAGGCAATTTATAAATTTTTCAATTGTTGGCATTTTATTCCAGAACCTAAATCGATAAATAATTAATTCTGACAGAACAGGTAGATTTTGATCAAACAATTACAATATATCATTTCAAGGAAAACAGTTAAGTTATGAATATAGTTATTATTGACATTTTAGGAAAACATGTTTACCAATGGTGAGTAAATAACCTTTTGTTGGCTATTTAAAAGGAAACTTGAAAATTTGTTTTTATTGATTTTCAGAAATTCCAACAAATTTGATTTTTCTCCTTTTTCTGCATATAATATGAATGTGTATATGTGTTTATATGTATATATTTTTTGTTTTTTTTTTTATGTGGAGTTATAGTATATTTAGCACGCTAAGTAAACTCATGTACAAGAGGTGAATAATGTAAGTTATTCACCACTTCAGTGAGATCTATCATGTTTATTTGTATTTTGTGAATTTGATTCATTTCTGAAACTTTTCAAAATAAACATTATTATTATTATTATTATTATTAATATGTCGAGTTCATGTTGAAAAGTGGCAAGCATAGGTGGACTGAAGAAAACCAATTCCATCTATGCTTGCCACCTTTAAGAGAATAACCACGATTTCAACGTGGACCACGACATATTACATAAAGAAAATGAAAGACAAAAATGAAACCTGCAGTAATCTTTGCAAATTGATACACGGAAACCAAATTTCTTTTCAAACGGCCAACAAGATGTTATTCACTCACCTTTGTTAGAATTGTTTTCATAAAAAGTCAATAATTACCATATTTTCTAGAAGTAATGTAGCATTGTAAATGTTTTACATCAATATCTACCTGTTTTGCCTGAATTAATCATGTATCTAATTAAGTTTTGACATGAAATGCCAATAACTAACATATTTACAAATTACCTGTTCTCCTAGAAGTAATATTGTAGGGTTATCATTTTTTTTTCAAATCTACTAGTTTTCCAAGCATGAATCATTTCTCCAATTGAGTTTTGTTATTACCTAGTGTTCTATAAAATATATGGTAGAATAGTTTGACGTACCAGTACAACTGATGAGCTATCACGTAGTGAAACACGGCTTGATTATTCATTATCATGAATAGTATATAATTAACATTTCACTGATTGTTAAATCCATAATCATTTCATTTTAGGTTACAATAATAATTCTTTAATTTGCAATTTAGTGTTCTTATAATTTTTGCTAGTCATCTATGCTCCTAGTCATCTATGCTCATTTTTGACATTACTTTTGTTTTGTAACCAGCTTAACCCCCTAATTTGATCCAATTATTCTTATTATTTTCAATAACTTGTCATTTGTTTTTCTATAAATTTTGAACCTGGGCAATGGAAGTCACATCTTGCAACATTCACCAAGAAACATTGTCAACCACTTCCAGACACGAATAATTCCACTGATATTATTTTTCATTGCAACGTCAAAAAGAGTTGAATTCATATTTAAGAGTATCAGCACCATTTTGGAATCAAAATTTCAATCATGAGGTCGTTCAAAACAAGCACCACGCCCAAACACAAGAACTGCAATACTCTTCTCCACACGCGTTTCATCAACTTGGTTTCATCAGGAAATGGTGGTTGGTGAGCAGTGTTTGTTTTAGATTTACTGTACACCCGAGGTTCCAGTTCTACCATACATTCAAGAAGTCATTTGAGCCATTTATAAAATAATCATGATTTTATGACAAAATGAATAAAATAATGAATGTTTTGTCAGATAATAACTGTACTCGTCATGCACTGTTTGGAACCTTTGGTGTAGTAATGAATATTACTGGAGTTTTTCCCAACACCATATCGTTATTTCAACACCTCGACACATGTTTCAATCACCAAGTGATCATCTTCAACAGAAAGATCAAAATATGGAAGACCTGAAAAATCATAAGTCGCCTATCATATTTTGCAACAAAACCATTCCGCAGACTTCAGTTCATTAAGATTGGTTAGACAAGGTAACAGCAACAGGCATCTAGATGCCTATGAGAGTGTAGAAATAAGTAAACATAATAATATTATGAATAACGATGGTGGAACAATACCTAATAGTATACTATATATCTTGTTAAAATAAAATAATATTTCAATTATTAGATTTACCTGATCATTACATAAGGACACATTGTAAAATTAATTTAAGACACTTAAGACACAGGTACCTAGAAGAGGTATGGTATAAATAAGGATAACTTTGTAAGTATGATTAGTTTGATGTTCCTCTTGAAGATGATCACTTGTCGAGTCGTTAAAATAACAGTTTGGTGTTGGGAAAAAACTCTATTAATATTCAGATAGTAACTGGTTGGTTAGTGTGACTGGTTAGTTCTACT